CTCAAATTTTGTATAAAACTAGTTACCGTCAGTGAATATTTTATCATTTGCTTATAGGATATTACTCAATTACAATAGTTTCGTTTCCGTGCGAGCGAAATCAAGCACTTCAAATAACCGACGAATTTTAGAATTTCCCAGATGCATACATATTTCGGCATAATTATGCGGTTATGCCAATATAGAATGAGACTCATTATTTTGCTTAACATTTGAATCTTCAATTAAACTTTCTGAGGGAAGGAGTATGCAATAAACAATTTTAAAAAATTTGCTGCTTGTTTTAATTGCTTGATGTTTACAAGATAACTGGCCTCGAAACATTGAGTGTTTTGTACCTTTAGGCTATATATTTTAGTAAACAAGAACGCTTTTTGCCACGTATAAGCGATGTTAATTCATACAGTATTATATTGTTACAGTAAAAAATTACGACTCTGAGTGCTCGTGTTCAGTGCGTATTTAGACCAAGGTGCATTGACTTCACATATGAAACAATCCTAAAATGTTTCAGATCATATTGTTATAAATGCTTTATATATATCTGAGGCTATAGATAAATTTTAGAGTATATAGTTTAGTGTGGATTGTAGTTGAGAATGATGTTTGCATTGAGTTTGTGTTTGTTAAAAGTTGAGCCAGAAAAATGTTCACTGTCAACCTTCTTATCTCTAAAATAACCCATTGCAGACACATTTTCTTGACAATTAGTTTTGTTCCTGTTGTGTCATTGTCTTGTAGCCCCGTGCACAGCAGTGAAACAATCCGACTTTGATTCTATTTTCCTGTAGGCTGTAGTAATAACATTTCTAGGTTCGTTGACTGCACGCATGAAAAGTAAAAACAATCCTTTCAATAGTTTCAAATACAATTATTATTAACTGCTGCATATGAGGACTTAGAGATAATAATTAAATAATCATAATGTAGAAATATTGACAACATTACAAACTAGTGAAAGTTAAATTGTAATGGTTTTCAATAAGCTCTGTACTGAGTATAAAGGCCTGTTCACACGATCCAATTTTGTAGGATCCTAAAAAACGGATTGCGCGAATACATATAAAGTTAGCCTCAGACAGTCGGATCTGTGAATCTTAAAAATCGAATGGAAATAGAAATAGAACTTGCTCTATTTTCATACGACAAAATGGAAGGAAACCGACTTGTCAAATTACATAGATTTGAAAAAGCCTTGAAAACAGGAACAAAAATACGAAAAATCTATCGATAAATGTACAGTGTAACACAAATGGCTATTCACACGATTATAAATATGTAAACGACTATAAATATCAACAAAATTATAGAACCGTCCTAACAAGCAAACGAAGTCGGAACAGAAACTATCGGATCGTGTGAACGGGCTAAGACATTTGTTGCGTGAGCGCTGATGTAAATTTCTTTCAACTATAAGTTTTAATTCTATTTTTGGTAGGACTTATTATGTTTTCAAACTTAACAAAAGCTTTAGATAATTGCTCATTTAAAGTCCATTTTCTGTGATAATTATTTGTCTCTTTTGCTTCATCGATTAGCTACTGATTTGAGTGAGAATGAAAATAAACCAAAAGACGAAGATGTGAAAACTTAAGGGGAAAGGAAGTTCTTACCTGGTATTGAAATCGCCAATGTACGTGATGTTAGCCCAAGCAAAAGTTATGAGCATCATTCTTCGACATATAATCTTGCATCTTTGCGACTTCACCAAAATTAGCCATCATCGCCCTTGGCTATGATAGAAATATGCTGCAACCGATGATAGTTCTTGTTTTGCTTTTGTTTTAACTATTCCATCGTATGAAAACTTTCAATCGACTTTACGCCTGAATTTTCACAAGTTTGTTCTCAACTTTCTTATTTCGTTACCAAAATCAAATATTTGGCGAGAAATTCGTAACAACTCGTGACTTCATGAACCGTTAACGTGGGGGTAGTCTTCAAAAGATAGAAATAACTTTGCTAAGGTGATAGCCTCGAGACTTTAACAATACGAATGCTGTCGATACAAGCGACACTTACAATTTGCAGTAGAAACTTTGTAATTGGAACTCATAAGAAACGGAAAATTGTTCGATATAACGGGGGTTTGAGCTATCAATGAAGACATCTCAAATTTTGTATAAAACTAGTTACCGTCAGTGAATATTTTATCATTTGCTTATAGGATATTACTCAATTACAATAGTTTCGTTTCCGTGCGAGCGAAATCTAGCACTTCAAATTGCTTCAAATAACCGACGAATTTTAAAATTTCCCAGATGCATATATATTTCAGCATAATTATGCGGTTATGCCAATATGGAATGAAAAACATTATTTTGCTTAACATTTGAATCTTCAATTAAACTTTCTGAGGGAAGGAGGAAGGAGTATGCAATGAAAAATTTTAAAAAATTTGCTGGTTGTTTTAATTGCTTGATATTTACAAGATAACTGGCTTCGAAACATTGAGTGTTTTGTACCTTAAGGCTATATATTTCAGTAAACAAGAACGCTTTTTTGCCACGTATAATCGATGTTAATTCATACAGTATATTGTTACAGTGAAAAATTACGACTCTGAGTGCTCGTGTTCAGTGCATATTTAGACCTAGGTGCAGTGACTTCTCATGAAACAATCCTAAAATGTTTCAGATCATATTGTTATGAATACTTTATATATATCTGAGTCAATAGATAAATTTTAGAGTGTATAGTTTAATGTGGATTGTAGTTAAGAGTGATGTTTCCATGGAGTCTGTGGCAGTTAAAATTTTAGCTAGAAAAAAGTTTATACTTTAAAAGTTATTACCTCTAAAACGTTTAACCTACTGTAGGTACATTTTCTAGTTTATTAATTTTCATTCATACATTGTTTTGGAGGCCCTGCTCAGCAGTGAAACAGTAGGACATTAATTGTAATTTTCTGTAGGCTGTAGTTGCTATGGACTTTTCTAGGTTCGTTGACTGCACGTACGAAAAATAAAAACATTCCTTTAAATAGTTTTGAAATCTATTATTATTGACTGCTGCACATGAGGACTTAGAGATAATAATTAAATAATCATAATGTAGAAATATTGATAACATTGCAAACTAGTGAAAATTAAATTGTAATGGTTTTCAATAAGCTCTGTACTGAGTATAAAGGCCTGTTCACACGATCCAAATTTGTAGGATCTTAAAAAACGGATTGCGTGAATACATATAAAGTTAGCCTCCGACAGTCGGATCCGTGAATCTTAAAAATCGAATGGAAATAGAACTTGCTCTATTTTCATCCGACAAAATGGAAGGAAACCGACTTGTCTAATTACATAGATTTGAAAAAGCCTTGAAAACAGGAACAAAAATACGAAAAATCTATCGATAAATGTACAGTGTAACACAAATGGCTATTCACACGATTATAAATATGTAAACGTCTAAATATCAACAAAATTATCGGACCGTCCTAACAAGCAAACGAAAGTCGGAACAGAAACAATTGGATCGTGTGAACGGGCTAAGACATTTGTTGCGTGAGCGCTGATGTAAATTTCTTTCAACTATAAGTTTTAATTCTATTTTTGGTAGGACTTATTATGTTTTCAAACTTAACAAAAGCTTTAGATAATTGCTCATTTAAAGTCCATTTTCTGTGATAATTATTTGTCTCCTGCTTCATTGATTAGCTACTGATTTGAGTGAGAATGAAAATAAACCAAAAGACGAAGATATGAAAACTTAAGGGGGAAGGGAGTTCTTACCTGGTATTGAAATCGCATATGTACGTGATGTTAGCTCAAGCAAAAGTTATGAGCATCATTCTTCGACATAAAATCTTGCATCTTTGCGACTTCACCAAAATTAGCCTTCATCGCCCTTGGCTATGATAGAAATATGCTGCAACCGATTATACTTCTTGTTATGCTTTTGTTTTAACTATTCCATCGTATGAAAACTTTCAATCGACTTTACGCCTGAATTTTCACAAGTTTGTTCTCAACTTTCTTATTTCGTTACCAAAATCAAATATTTGGCGAGAAATTCGTAACAACTCGTGACTTCATGAACCGTTAACGTGGGGGTAGTCTTCAAAAGACAGAAATAACTTTGCTAAGGTGATAGCCTCGAGACTTTAACAATACGAACGCTGTCGATACAAACGACACTTACAATTTGCAGTAGAAACTTTGTAATTGGAACTCATAAGAAACGGAAAATTGTTTGAGTTAACGGGGGTTTGAGCTATCAATGAATATGTCATCATTTGCTTATAGGATATTACTCAATTACAATAGTTTAGTAAACTGTTTGTAATTGTAAACTTTAATACTGTATGTTAATTCATACAGTCTTATATTGTTATAACCGACGAATTTTAAAATTTCCCAGATGCATACATATTTCAGCATAATTATGCGGTTATGCCAATATAGAATGAAACACATTATTTTGCTTAACATTTGAATCTTCAATTAAAGAAGGAGTATGCAATAAACAATTGCTTGATATTTACAAGGTAACTGGCTTCGAAACATTGAGTGTTTTGTACCTTTAGGCTGTACCTTTTCAGTAAACAAGAACGCTTTTTGCCACCTATAAGCGATTTTAATTCATACAGTATTATATTGTTACAGTAAAAAATTACGGCTCTGAGTGCTCGTGTTCAGTGCGTATTTAGACCTAGGTGCATTGACTTCTCATATGAAACAATCCTAAAATGTTTCAGATCATATTGTTATGAATGCTTTATATATATCTGAGGCTATAGATAAATTTTAGAGTATATAGTTTAGTGTGGATTGTAGTTGAGAATGATGTCTGTGGCAGTTAAAATTTTAGCTAGAAAAAAGTTTATACTTTAAACGTTATTACCTCTAAAACGTTTAACCTACTGTAGGTACATTTTCTAGTCTATTAATTTTCATTCATACATTGTTTTGGAGCCCTGCTCAGCAGTGAAACAGTAGGACAATAATTGTAATTTCCTGTAGGCTGTAGTAATAACTTTTTTAGGTTCGTTGACTGCACGTATAGGTACGAAAATTGAAAACATTCCTGAATAGTTTCGAATTCTATTATTATTGACTACTGCATATAAAGACAAGGACTGAGACATTCAAAGCATTTCAACACAGTGAATGGTCGAGTGTGGTTTTAAACTATCTTGGGTGGAATCAATTGCTAGAACTATTAAAGTAAGTAGAAATTATTGCTATAGTATTTACGTTCCAAATGTAGTGACTTTATCATTGTGTTTGATCTTCGGATGTTTTCTTAAAAGAAATATAATTTTTTAATGTTTTTTTAGTTTTAGATTGTTGCAATACGTTTTTGTCGGCAAAATGTCAAGACAGCTAGAGACTGAAGGTCTTTCATATAATTATTTTCATTTCATTTCACTTTTTTTTGTATGTATGTATGTATGTATGCAAGTCGTTTAAAAACAACCACAAGTTATATGAACTTCAAAATATTTAAACTTTTTTTGCGTAGCTGAGAAAGCATTCTTTGAAAAATTTCATGAAATCTGCGATGCAGCTTCAGTTGATAAGCCCAGTTTGAAGAATAAACTAAGTGCTACGTGCAATCCTTTACACATATGTAAAGACGTGTTCACGAAGGAGGATGTCATAAAGGAAATAAGAAATGCGAGATCTGCAAAGGATAAAAAGCTTGTTCGAGTTTGTGGTTCTGAGCATTCTCGAGCTAAACATATCTTAGGTGAAAATGAAGCAGGTTTGACAAACAAGTTGATTTACTCTAGTATCCGTTGTTACAACTGTGAGAATGAATGAAATTGAACATGTCACAGTAGAAATGTTTTATAAAAACATTTCTACTTAACATTTGTTGTTGCAGGGATTTTGTTGAATTTAAAAGGTGAACTAGCAGAAGTAAACAATATATTTTTATTAAAATAAATATGAGCATATTTCTGAATTAAGGCATATTGGCATGTAAAGTTTTATTTAATCCTATGAGTATAAAAGAAACCAGAAATTTATTGATAAAGGACAAATTCTATTGCAAACATGTTTCAACTGAACAAGTTTTCATTTTTTGTCACAGGAATTTTGTTGTCATTGAAAGGCGACCTTGAAGAAGTGACAATACACCCGGAAGAAAGCACAGATGAAAAGTTGTACGTTACCGCTGGTGGGGGCTGTGTTCTTGGTTATAATCCAAATAAAGAAAATAAACGTGAAAAATCTCTTTGTTACAAGGTGAACGAGGCGGGCTTTGCTCTCCCAGATCTTGGAGGCATTACTCATCAAACAGTTGCTGGGTTTTTGTCAACTGGATCTGCTGGAGGTAGTCTAATTTACAGTTTAACTGATTCAATTGAAGAAATCACGTTCATCAACGGCAAAGCGCAAGAACAAACGTGTTCACGCAATGATTCAGAAACGAAGGATCTATTTTTTGCTGTAGGCGTTTCTATGGGTCTGTTTGGCGTTATAACTAAAGTTAAGTTTTGCCTTGAGAACAAACAATTTAATGTTGTTGGTAATGAATTAAGTGTTAAGTTTAAAGAGTCCTTATTGAATAAACCCGAGAAATTGGATAAAGTCAAAGATGGCGATTACTGGCGTCTCAACTGGTTTCCTCAAAAGGGCCTTAATAAAGTCATGCAGTGGAGAGCAGTACAAACTAATTATGATGAGCATGGAACGCCGTACGAAAACCCTGTAAATTGTTGTTTAAGTGCGACGGCAGCTGCTTTTGCTATGGTGGCATGCAATATAGCTCTTTACCAAGCATTAGACGAGTGTCCAGATGGAACAACAGCTTTTATATCGACTGCATTAGCATTTTTCAATATAAATAAATGTGACCCAAAATTTAACGACACGTGGTATCATGGATTACCTATGGATAACGAAGCACATGTTGATGACTTCATCAAGGTTGATTTTACCGAAATCTGGATACCATTTAAACACCGTGCTGACGTCATTGAGCGGTTGAAGCAGTAAGTACACGATAATGACTATTATATGAAGTATGATGTTCAAGTTTGTTTGCAGTGCACGTTAAATTTACGTTGTTTGTTACATAAAGTTCAAAGGAAATCTATATTTTCAGACTTTTTAAAGATTCAAAACACGGACAAAAAGCAGCTGGAAATTTTGCTGTGGAAATTTATCCAGCGAAAAAATCAGATTTTTGGTTAAGCATGTCCTATGATGAGGATATGATTCGTGTGGATCCTTACTGGTATCATCACAATCCATATGGTACAGCTGAAGAATATTTCACTTACTTTTGGAATCAGTTGCTACCATCGTGGGAGTCACCCACAGTGCGTTTTCATTGGGGTAAATTCTTGCCAAAAACAGGAGAAAAGTACCAGCAAAAACCAGGAGGAGATTCTGTCTGTTTTGACTCGGTTTATCTTGAATCTGTTTATCCGAAAATGAAAGAGTGGAAAGAACTTCGTCAAGAACACGACCCAGATCAAATGTTTGTCACCAATTACTGGAGAGAGATTCTAGGCATAAAAGCTGACTGAGAGAACAATTGTTCGTAACATAGTTTTGAGTGTTTCACTTTATAACCATGAATTATATGTAACTGTAATTTTCTTGCGTTATTTTACTTATGAAACATTTTGTTCTAGTTTACTGACCTGCACAAAATATGTAGAATTTACTGTTTATCTAGCAAAGATGTATTTACTAATCAAAAATGAATGTGTATTTGCACGTTTTTGTATGTAAAGAAAACACTTTTCATGTTATTAAACCGTCAACATTGATCAAAATTCGTATCGCAAATTGTGTTCTTTCCGTCCATTTTGTACCACCTCATGATTGTTATTTTGAACGATGGATATGAGTAGTGACGATGATATGTGCAATGATGACCGTGTGGGACTCGGGAGAGAAACATAAAGAACAAGTGTGTGACTTCTGGGGAGAAATAAAATTTTTGTTTTGTTTATTCGTGTTTATTGTTGTATTTTTGTCTTTCTCTACGGATTGTCTCTCACCTCTTTTTGAATTTTCGTTTGTGTTATGAATAATGTAAAAAAATAAAGGACTTATGGCACAAGATATGATAAAAATACGCGACTTTCATGTAGAAGATGGCTTCGTGTTTAATTTCGACATGGTAGACTTTGTGAAACATGAAAAGATTCCGGTAGCACCAGATCCATTTCTTCTTATTTGTAAAGTGATTTTGAAATGCCGTTCATGTAAAATACCAATTTCATCGAGGATTTTGGAGAATTGTCGTGTTTATCCAATACCATCAAACCATTCTTTGAACGTGTTTCTTAAAAGTGACGATGAAGTTAGTGGGAATGTTATTGTATTTAAGGAAAGATTCAACAAAGTATTTGTACAATGGTTTGGTCCATGTAAGCAAATAGAATGTGATGCAAATTTGTTGGCTAAAGTCTACAGATCACAATGGATTTTAAACGAAGTTTTGTCCACCATGAACGGCAGTAATGTTGATATGAACAAGAAGAAATTGAAAGAAAAATATTGGAGTTTTGTTCGCGAGATTTTGAATAAAATTGAGGCAAAGAAAACAGATTTAAAAGGCAGGTTGATATTAAAATAGCTTATGTTCTAATGGGTTTTTACTGCCAAGCTAAATAGCACAACTTTTGATGTAATTTGGTCAACACATAAACTCACAAAATCTCCCAAGACAATAAAAATTATGTTTTTTGATGTTTTTGAAAAGTCAACTGGCGATGATTTTATGTTTCATTTTACAAACAAGATTCTGCTTGGTCGACTAAACTTAATTGAGATGTTCTTGGTTTTCAATCAGTGTACCCTTACGTCTATTAGGAGTTTGCCAATGTCCGGTGGATATCTCACAATGGCATTGATGAAATATATACATGTTATTAACTGGCTGCGAGGTCCATACACAAAAAATATTTTCACCAGATCTGAAAAGTGGTCAGAGGTCAAAGGCCAAGTTTGGACCACCCTAAACCATAAATACATGTTATTTTTTTATTTTTATAGCAAAGAAATTCATGTTGTAAAATGGCCGATATGCAGCTTGTTTATACTGTTTTAATGTAATGGTACAAAATTCACCTTGCTTGGTTGGTAAAAATTCACTCTCGCTATGATAACTACCATTTGAATACATTTTTCTTTCCCCTTGAACAATTTATATAGCTTTTAAATCAATTTTAGAACTTTGTAAACATTGCAAAAAATATGAATTTTGGACAACAGTCAAGACCCTGTAAAAATCTACCCTCTGCTGCAGCCAATCAGATTGTTGGTAATAAAAAATATCATTAGCCATGCATAAATAAAAAAATAATCTTTTTTATTGTATGGCAAGCATCACTTGTAGCAAAATGGCACATCTTGATTGGCTCAGAAATATTTTGCCGGTTTGTTATTTTCCCATAATGCACCATGGTCCATTATGTGTAATTTTACAACTAAACGTAAACAAACGTAGTAAAGCAAACAGCAAAATGCAAAAAAAAAAACCCAAAAAAACTATTGATGAATGTGAGAATGTGAGTAGAAGGAAAAACACTCAGTTTAACTATCGAGACGATACAATTTCAAATGATTTTTTTTACTGACGAAAACTAGAGAAGTGAAAGTCAACCCGTACAAAACTGTGAGGACGAGAAAATAAAGAAAGCTTTGTTCACGTCAAATAATGCCATATAATAAGTAAGTACAAAATATTAACTATTATATGAAGTGTTAAATCTAAGTTTAATTGGGCTTGTTCTTTTTAGACTCTACGATGATTCAAAAGAACTACAACAGGCAGCTGGAAATTTATCGAGCTAAAAGCTAGGATTTTTCGTTTAGTAATATGGTAAAGATATGATCCGAATGGATCCCTATAGGTACCTCTACAATCCTTGTGGTACAGGTGGCGAATATTTCAATTTCGTTGTAATCAATTGCTACCAATGTCAAAGTCAACGCCAGTTCGTCTCCACTGGGGTAAATTTTTGCCACAACCAGGACATGAATGGAAACAGCGTAATCTTTAATTCGGAGTACCTGAAATATGTTTACCCGAGAATGAAAGATTGGAAAAAACTCCGTCAAGAACACGACCCAAGTCAAATGTTTGTCACCAATTATTGGAGAGAGATTCTAGGCATACCTTTACCTCGAGAGAATAACTTTTCGCAAAACTTACTTGAGTGATTTGATGATAGATCGTGGTTTAACGGTTGTACTTTTTTCTATATAATTTTTTATTGATAAAAATTTTTATGTTTGCTTTTGGTTAAATATCTCCTTCAGAATTCGCTTTCCACCTGGCAAACTATAGTTACAGCAAATTTTATTTTTATACGCTCAATAACGAAATAAAGCCTCACAAACAGACTTAATTGTCATTTTTTTCATTTGCTTGTCAAGTAAAGATTTACTGTAAGAACCTTTGCTTGCATTGAAAAGTCAGTGAGTCACTAAAACCCTAGCTTCGTCACTGAAGGCAAAACTGATTTTTTTATATAAATAAGCAAATTCAACAGATTTCACCATTGTATAAAATCATGGACTGTTCTTTGGGAGAAAGCTTACATCAGTTAATCATTCCTACATACAATTCCTGAATGACTTAGTGGAGGCTATTCACAACTCATGAGAATGTAAATTGAATTGTAGTTTGCAATTTCTTCTGCGTTGAACAAAGATCTCTTTCAATCAAGCCTTTTAGCAAGGCTTTTAAAAATGTTGAGGCTTAACACTTATACACTTAAAATATGTCTCGATAGTGATCAGTTTATTGCAATGCATTTTATTCGTAATTGCTTTGCAAACATGTGTAATTGCATTGCAAAAATGTACTTCAATCTTGATTGACGTAAATACTTTGACCTGATTGTTGAAAAACATTGAAAAAGGTAAACAAATTAAACTTATAAATTCGAAAAAATATGGCGCCAGTAGTTGGTAAACAAAGATTTCCACATTTGCAAGTGTCTGAAATCGTCAACAATTGAAAAACAGTGCAAAGAACAAAAATACAACAGCAACTTCGAAAAACTCACAACGAGTGTATGTTTATTCGCAATTGCCCTCAAAACTATCGATGGTATAAAGTTCGAGAGTGAAGATGACAATTTGAGAGGAAAAATAGATAGAATGTTATAGAAAGTGTGTACCTGGATATTTAGACTGGATTCGTCCATCCGAATACGACAGAAACAAACTCATTACTGAGGAATTTTTGATCTATTTTTGATCCTTTGAATCCTTTGATGTCGGACATCCTTCGAATTTCTTCCTAAAATTTCTTGACAATGTTTATGGTGTGTCGTAAATATACTTAATAAATATATTTGAAAATTGGTAACCCAGGCATATTATGATAATGATAAGGATTCTCTGGATTTGTTTTAAATTTTTATTAAGCTTTCAACTCGGTGCTTCGAGCCTTCGTCAGAATGTGACAATATATTATTTACAAAGATTTTTGTAGGCGTTTGGAGCGTCTGATTGGTTGGTTGGTAGTTGAGTTGATATTATTGGATGGTATAAGATGCGTTGTCATGGTTTCGGGTGTATCGATTACGTTAATGAAATTCGAGTGTTTTATTTTAGTCGTTGTGTTATTAGTTTGTTGTTTTGGTTTTGTCTTTAGTTGTGAATAGATGATGGGGATGTCAATATGTCTGTTAATTGTGTTGTTGTCTTTGCTGTACCATGCCTCTTTGAATTCTCGTGCGTGTTTTGTCTGTGTATGCAAGGAAGCATATATATTAAAGATTTATTTGAAGAGATATATTTCCTGAAACGTATTGATTGAAATATTAAATAAGTTATTAATAAACTCAATGCATAAGTATCCACATATTATTGCAATGAAATGAAAGTTGAAGTGTAGTTTGGAATCATCTCTGCTGCATGGAGTTCAAGGCAATTGTAACGTGTATGATTTATAGTTAAGATTTCGTGCAACCAAACGTTTTAGTAATTGTAGCTTAAGAAGACTTTTAAAATGGTGGAGACTTAAGTCGCTTAACACTTACATTTCATTTCGTGTGATAATGTTTCTTTAGATGTTATGTCTCGACAATGATTGTTTAATTGTAGTGTCTTTCATCTGTAATTGCATTGCAAAAATACGAAGTATAGATGATTGACGTCAACATAGCTTCGGGGTTATACTATTTGCTACAAAGAAGAGTTTGTTGTCCGATGGAAAGCCTTGCAAAGCTATAAGTTTTCACATTTTAGCTGTGTTGTGATTAATGTTAGTGTAAGTACTAAAGCATATGTGAACATTTAGTTAAAATACACTTTCTTGAATTGTTGAGCTAACATCTAACATTCTCAGTTTCATTTGGCGAAAAAGGTGCAGGTGTGGTGCCAATTTTCCTACAAGATATTAATATACCAGCAATTAAACAAAAACAATTTTGATTTGTGTTTAATGGAGCACACTTACAAAATTTAGCTCACAATAATGGTAAAATAGTAACGGAATTTTTCCAATAAAGTTTGACATAGTACGACGATACCCGTGAAGTAACCATTGAAACTAAACAAAAGCAACGCCAGCAAAATCTTCCCTGATCTATCTCTGCGACAAAAACACTGTAAGCCAATTTTCTACACCCCCTCAAAGTGAGTATGCCGTAAGGAATAACAATCGCACGCACGAACTTAGTGCCTGTGAACAGGAGCCACACAGGCTTACAAAAACATCGTATCTCTTTGTCCTTTAAATACGGTTTTTTTATCTTCAAGTTCTTACCCTCGACACTGGAAATTTGGACAAACTCTGTCTTGTGTTTCTTATTCATTACTTAATTGCTTTGTTTACTTCATGTTTGTTTCATAAAATTCCAACAAAGCCTTTGTTTATATTGTTGTTGACTGCATTATATAAAGACAAAAACCTAAATATTGAAATCATTTCAGGGCAGAGCATGTTGTAGTGTGGTTTTGAATTATTTTCGTTTAAATCAATTGCTGGAATTCTTCGCGTAAGTAGAAAGCATCTGCGTCTATCTGTATCTCAAATATGACTTGATCATTTTGATTTAGTGATAAATCTTGAAATGCGTAGTTTTTTAACTGGTAATAAGTTTCAATGTATATTCCTGCCTTAGTTTTAGACCACTGAGAATCTGCTTTTCTTGAGGAGAAAAAATGTCAAGACAGCATGACAATGAAGGTATTTGTTGTAATCATGCATGGTGAAGTCGTTTTGAAGAACCAAGGTTCGCGAACTTTAAAATACTAAACCTTTTTGTTTTACGTAGCTAAAAGAGCATTCTACAAAATTTTTCGTAAAAGTGTTGGTCCTGCAATCCTGCACAATGCATCCTATTTTCAAAATGAACAGCAACGTAAGCCCCAACAATTGAGGAAGAAACAACGTGAACCACGTGATATCCCTGAAAAAGTAAAGCATGCTCCACCTGGACATATCTTTGATGAGAAATGTCGTCCGTGTATCTCAGCTATTCACGAATGCAAGGACGTGTTTACGACGCAAGACGTAATAAATGAAATAAACAAAGCAAGAGAACAACGCAAGATTGTTCGCGCTCGTGGCTGGGAGCATTCTGGAGTTGATCATGTCTTAGATGACAATGAAGCAGGTTTAAAATAAAGGGTAGTCAGTGTAGGTAGTGATAAATGAACAACAGAGAACGAGTTACGACCGAGTTACGGCTAAAGGACTCCCTCTTGATGAAATCTCTAGAGAGTAAAACAGAGAGTGATAACTTGCTGAACACAATGTCACTACAACATTATCAGAAATATTACCCCACCCCTCCCCCTCAGTAACACGGCATATCGCTATTTAGGGAATATATATTTTGAAAAATTTTCCCGTTGAATCAGTGGACTGTCTATAGCGGACCTTGCTACTCCAAAACCTCAAGTCTTGCTACATCATTCAAAGAGTCTTTATTAAAATAAATATGAACATATTTAGGAATTAAGGCATATCAGCATGTAAAGTTTTATTTAATCCTATGAGTATAAAAGAAAGCAGAAATTTATTGACAAACGACAAATTCTATTGCAAACATGTTTCAACTGAACAAGTCTTCATTTTTTGTCACAGGAATTTTGTTGTCTTTAAAAGGCGACCTTGAAAAAGTGACAATACACAGGGAACAAAGCACAGATGAAAAAATGTACGTTACCGCTGGTGGTGGCTGTGTTCTTGGTTATAATCCAAATATAGAAAATATAAGAAGCTCGCTAAGCTATCAAGTTAATCGGGCAGGTTTTGCTCTCCCAAATCTTAGCAGCATTACCCATCAAACAGTCGCTGGGTTTTTCTCCACAGGATCTGCTGGAGGTAGTCTTCAATACAACATGGCCGATTCAATCGAAGCAATTACCTTCATCAACGGCAAACGAGAAGAACAACACTGCTCTCGTACAATTAACAGTGATTTGTTTTATGCTGTTGGCGTGTCCATGGGCCTGTTTGGCGTTATAACTGCTGTCACATTTTGCCTCAAGGACAAGAGATTTAATGTCAAAGGAAGTGAAAAATACGTTGAATTCAAAGATTCCGCATTGGCTAATCCATATGAATTGAAAAATCTGGATTCCTACTGGCGTTTCAACTTGTACCCTCAAAAATACGTCAAGAAAGTTATGGAATGGACGGCAGAAAGAAGTGAATACAACGAAGAAGGAAAACCCTATGAAAACATCATTAATCGTCCTTTAGTTGCCGTTGGAGCTGCTGGTGTTATGATAACATGCAATACTCTTCTTTACAACTACCCGGGCGAGAAGACCTATAAGATCATAGGGGGTGCTATGGGAACACTCATTAATCCTCATGATTCGTCACAACTTTTTAACGATGTGTGGTATCATGGATTGCCAAAGGATAACAGAGCACATGTTGACGACATCCTTGAGGTCGATTACACCGAAATCTGGATACCCTTTAAACACCGTACTGAGGTCATTGAGCGGTTGAAGGAGTAAGTATACATTAATGACTATTATATGAAGTATGATATTTAAGTTTGTTGCAGGTACGTTAAATTTAGTTGTTTTTTACATAAAGCTTAGACGAAATTTGACTTTTTAGAATTTACAATGATTCTGAAGCAGGACAACAGGCAGCTGGAAATTACGCTGTTGAAATTTATGCAGCGAAAAGCTCAAAATTTTGGTTAAGCATGTCATATGATGAAGATATGATCCGCGTGGATCCCTATTGGTACCTCTACAATCCTTGTGGTACAGCTCGTGAATTTTTCACTTTCGTTTGGAATCAATTGCTACCAATGATGTCAAAATCAACGCCAGTTCGTCTCCACTGGGGTAAATTTTTGCCACAACCAGGACAAGAGCTCCAGGACATGAATGGAAACAGCGTCGTCTTTAACTCGGAGTACCTGGAATCTGTTTACCCGAAAATGAGAGATTGGAAGAACTTCGTCAAGAACACGACCCAGATCAAATGTTTGTCACCAATTATTGGAGAGAGATTCTAGACATACCTTTGCACTGAGAGAACAATTCTTCGTAACATAGTTTTGAGTGTTTCACTTTATAACCGTGAATTATATGTAACTGTAATTTTCTTGCGTTATTTTACTTATGAAACATTTTGTTCTAGTTTACTGACCTGCACAAAATATGTAGAATTTGCTGTTTATCTAGCAAAGATGTATTTACTAACCAAAAATGAATGTGTATTTGCACGTTTTTATATGTAAAGAAAACACTTTTCATGTTATTAAACTGTCAATATTGATCAAAATTCGTATTGCAAATTGTGTTCTTCCGTCCATTTTGTACACCTCATGATTGTCATTTTGAACGATGGATATGAGTAGTGACAATGATATGTGCAATGATGACCGTGTGGGACTCGGGAGAGAAATATTAAGAATAAGAAGTGGGTGAATTCTCGGGAGAAATAAAATTTTTGTTTTGTTTATTCGTGTTTATTGTTGTATTTTTGTCTTTCTCTACGAATTGTCTGTTACCTCTTTTGGAATTTTCGTTTGTGTTATGAATAATGTAAAAAAATAAAGAACTTATGGCACAAGATATGATAAAAATACGCGAATTTCATGTAGAAGATGGCTTCGTGTTTAATTTCGACATGGTAGACTTTGTGAAACATGAAAAGATTCCGGTAGCACCAGATCCATTTCTTCTTATTTGTAAAGTGATTTTGAAATGCCGTTCATGTAAAATACCAATTTCATCGAGGATTTTGGGGAATTGTCGTGTTTATCCAATACCATCAAACCATTCTTTGAACGCGTTTCTGAAAAGTGACGATGAAGTTAGTGGGAATGTTATTGTATTTATGGAAAGATTCAACAAAGTATTTGTACAATGGTTTGGTCCATGTAAGCAAATGGAATGTGATGCAAACTTGTTGGCTAAAGTCTACAGATCACAATGGATTTTAAACGAAGTCTTGTCCAACATGAACGGCAGTGATGTTGATATGAACAAGAAGAAATTGAAAGAAAAATATTGGAGTGTTGTTTGCGAGATTTTGAATAAAATTGAGGCAAAGAAAACAGATTTAAAAGGCAGGTTGATATTAAAATAGCTTATGCTCTAATGGGTTTTTACTGCCAAGCTAAATAGCACAACTTTTGATGTAATTTGGTCAACACACACACTCACAGAATCTCCCAAGACAATAAAAATTATGTTTTTTGATGTTTTAGAAAATTCAACTAGCTATGATTTCATGTTTCATTTGACTAACATGACTTTGCTTGGTGGACAAACTTTGAGTTGTTCTTGGTTTTCAATAAGTGTACCCATACGTCTATTAGGAGTTTGCCAATGTCCGGTGGATGTCTCACAATAACATTGATAAAATATCATTTTACATAAGACATCCAATATGAAATACAAAAGTACAAACTTTTTGCTAACCTGCAATGTTGATTTGCTGGAAAAAAATCTGTCACAAACATGTGTTTCATTTAAGAAATAAAAGATCATTACTGTGTTTGCATGGGCTTATGCAAACTGAGGAGGATTTTATAAAATAAAAATAATGCGAAAAGGACAAACATTTTAATTTTTCCTCTAAAATGTATCCATGATCAATTTGTAAATTCTCTTTGACTGATTTCAAAATAATTGCACTCAGAATATTTTTTCTTTCGCTAATTATCTTGTGTAATTTATAGATCAGTGTCAAAATTATCTTGTGTAATTTATAGATCAGTGCCAAAGTTATCTTGTTTAATCACAAGGTTAAATAGTTGGAATGTTATTAAACAAAACGAATGCAAACAATAATGACCTTATTTAACAACATTTGAGAAATTAACCTTCCACTCCTCTTCCTTGTAAACCAGACAAGTCTACTCAAAAGCAGAGAGCCTTATACGCTACAAGTCCCGGGCTTGTGACCGGTATAGCAGAGTTAAAAGGTGAAAGGTTTGTCATAGACTCAAAGGTTTATCATGGACTTGTATCGTTTACAAGGAAGAGGAGTGGAAGGTTAACTTCTCAAATGTTGTTAGATAAATATTGTTTGTAGTTGGTTATAATTATTTTTTTGTTTTATCTTGTTTAATTTATAGATCAGTGCCAAAGTTATCTTGTGTAATTTATAGATCAGTGCCAAAATTATCTTGTTTAATTTATAGATCAGTGCCAAAGTTATCTTGTGTAATTTATAGATCAGTGCCAAAATTATCTTGTGTAATTTATAGATCAGTGCCAAAATTATCTTGTGTAATTTATAGATCAGTGCCAAAATTATCTTGTGTAATTTATAGATCAGTGCCAAAATTATCTTGTGTAATTTATAGATCAGTGCCAAAATTATCTTGTGTAATTTATAGATCAGTGCCAAAATTATCTTGTTTAATTTATAGATCAGTGCCAAAGTTATCTTGTGTAATTTATAGATCAGTGCCAAAATTATCTTGTGTAATTTATAGATCAGTGCCAAAATTATCTTGTGTAATTTATAGATCAGTGCCAAAATTATCTTGTTTAATTTATAGATCAGTGCCAAAGTTATCTTGTGTAATTTATAGATCAGTGCCAAAATTATCTTGTTTAATTTATAGATCAGTGCCAAAGTTATCTTGTGTAATTTATAGATCAGTGCCAAAATTATCTTGTGTAATTTATAGATCAGTGCCAAAATTATCTTGTGTAATTTATAGATCAGTGCCAAAATTATCTTGTGTAATTTATAGATCAGTGCCAAAATTATCTTGTGTAATTTATAGATCAGTGCCAATTACTTAGCTCATACTAATGTCCATTTTCAATACACCACAGGTTTTGCTTACGATGTTTTGGACAAGTCAAATGCAGACAAGCTGACAACACAACTGACTGCGTCTTCGGGTAAGGTATTGGTAAAAGGTACAGCAGCAATATTGTTAGCTGAAATTGCTGAAGAACTTGGTCGTAAAATTGCAGCAATACTTGCAACAAAAACAGCAACCAAAGCTGCGACAAAAAGCACTTCAGCACATGCAAGTAAACTGGCTGCAAAGAGTCTGCCTGTTTTGGGTCTTGCTGTTGGTGTTGGTTTTGGACTATGGCGGTATTGGCAGGGTGACACAACCGGTGCAGGTTTGGAGGTAATTTCTGGTGCTGCTGCATGTATTCCTGGTAGTGGAACTGCAACGTCGCTGGCTATTGATGCTGGGCTTATCGCAAGGGATGTTTATGATGCAAGGAATCATGAAGTTCAGGTATGTTTTCTGCTCATTAGTAATGTTCAATAAAATAGAAAATATCTTTATGAAAATATCTCGTTAAATTCACTACATTTGGTATATGTTCATTTTCCAGGTTAGTAATTTCTATAGAAGGACTGTTGATGTTAATGTTGATGTACATTTTGAAATCCTTAGCTATAGTTTTCTCCAAAGTCAATTGAAAAATCTCAACATCATCTAAAAACATCTACCTCAAACGATTCACTATGTTACTTTTCAAAGTAAATTGAATTTATAGCAATTATTTAATCATCCATATTCATTCAATCCTCAGAACCAGTGTGTGAATTAAGGGTGTGCAATGTGCAATTTGCACATCGTTTTAGCTAAAATGAAAACAATGCACATCACTTTTTTCAAACGATGTGCAAAAATCACGTTTAAAAATATTAATTTAGCAATTAGCGCTATATAATAATTAACGGAATATCGATTTGCTTATGCCTTTAAAGAAACTCTTTTGTCAAAAAAATTGCTCATCGTTTTTTCTGAACTAATTCGCACACTGCTCAGAACCAACACAACAGTCTTTCAAGACTGCAATAACCTGGAAAATCATCATTTACAAACATGTAGCAATACTCCTCCTCAATCTATTCTCTTCACAATAATTCAAACTGAATATAATTTCATAATTTGACAATAAAGTATGGTTATAAACTAAACTCATCAAAGGGAATTAAAATTTAACTATATTTAACTGTATCATTCAGCATTCTTCAGATAGTTTCATAAATTTATTTAACTGTATCATTCAGCATTCTTCAGATAGTTTCATAAATTCATTTAACTGTATCATTCAGCATTCTTCAGATAGTTTCATAAATTTATTTAACTGTATCATTCAGCATTCTTCAGATAGTTTCATAAATTTATTTAACTGTATCATTCAGCATTCTTCAGATAGTTTCATAAATTTATTTAACTGTATCATTCAGCATTCTTCAGATAGTTTCATAAATTTATTTAACTGTATCATTCAGCATTCTTCAGATAGTTTCATAAATTTATTTAACTGTATCATTCAGCATTCTTCTGCTAATTTCATAAATTTATTTAACTGTATCATTCAGCATTGTTCTGCTAATTTCATAAATTCATTTAACTTTAGCATTCAGCATTCTTCAGATAGTTTCATAAATTTATTTAATTGTATCATTCATCATTCTTCTGCTAATTTCATAAATTTATTTAACTGTATCATTCAGCATTCTTCAGATAGTTTCATAAATATATTTAACTGTATCATTCAGCATTCTTCTGCTAATTTCATAAATTTATTTAACTATATCATTCAGCATTCTTCAGATAGTTTCATAAATTTGTTTAACTGTATCATTTAGCATTCTTCTGCTAATTTCATAAATTTATTTAACTGTATCATTTAACATTCTTCAGATAGTTTCATAAATTATTTAACTGTATCATTTAACATTCTTCAGATAGTTTCATAAATTATTTAACTGTATTATTCAGCATTCTTCTGCTAATTTCATAAATAAAATGTATTTTAATTAGGTCATGAAAGATAAAGTAAAAAATCTTGATGAATCCTTGAATGATTTATATGAAAGATATGACAATGCTTTGTCTGACTATGAGTTTGTTCAAGAAATATTTGACAAGAATATTAAATTTAGCAATTTGGAAATGGAGGTTAACATACTGCACAAAATAGTGAGTCATTTAAACACAAATAGCGAGGACACTTTTGACATATTGTAAAAATGTCCACATTTAGAACACCACTAATTTAATGTGTATTTCATTTATGACATAATCTGCCTTTCAATGTATATAATGACTGATAATGACTGTATGTAGAATTTTTTTTGACATTCATTGTAAAGGATGATCACTATTGTAGATTGGATTTTTTAGCAAATAAATCATTCTATTACAATTAAATGTTTCAACTTTAATGTTATTCAAACTTTTTAATCAATTGATGTTCTGGTACTATCAGTACTTACCCCATCAAAGAAATAATGCAAAAACTGCTAAAACATGAAATTTTGTATTCAATGCGGTGAACAATATGAAGTTAATTGCAGGTGTTAGTCTTAGTGTCGGTGTTAGTCTTAGTGTTGGTGTTAGTCTTAGTGTTGGTGTTAGTCTTAATGTTTGTGTTAGTCTTAGTGTTGGTGTTAGTCTTAGTGTTGGTGTTAGTCTTAGTATCGGTGTGTGTTAGTCTTAGTGTTGGTGTTAGTCTTAGTGTTGGTGTTAGTCTTAGTGTTGGTGTTAGTCTTAGTGTTGGTGTTAGTCTTAGTGTTGGTGTTAGTCTTAGTGTTGGTGTTAGTCTTAGTGTTGGTGTTAGTCTTAGTGTTGGTGTTAGTCTTAGTGTTGGTGTTAGTCTTAGTGTTGGTGTTAGTCTTAGTGTTGGTGTTAGTCTTAGTGTTGGTCTTAGTCTTAGTGTTGGTCTTAGTCTTAGTGTTGGTGTTAGTCTTAGTGTTGGTGTTAGTCTTAGTGTTGGTGTTAGTCTTAGTGTTGGTGTTAGTCTTAGTGTTGGTGTTAGTCTTAGTGTTTGTGTTAGTCTTAGTGTTGGTGTTAGTCTTAGTGTTGTGTGTTAGTCTTAGTGTTGGTGTTAGTCTTAGTGTTGGTGTTAGTCTTAGTGTTGGTGTTAGTCTTAGTGTTGGTGTTAGTCTTAGTGTTGGTGTTAGTCTTAGTGTTGGTGTTAGTCTTAGTGTTGGTGTTAGTCTTAGTGTTGGTGTTTGTCTTATTGTTGGTGTTAGTCTTAGTGTTGGTGTTTGTCTTAGTGTTTGTGTTAGTCTTAGTGTTGGTGTTAGTCTTAGTATCGGTGTGTGTTAGTCTTAGTGTTGGTGTTAGTCTTAGTGTTGGTGTTAGTCTTAGTGTTGGTGTTAGTCTTAGTGTTGGTGTTAGTCTTAGTGTTGGTGTTAGTCTTAGTGTTGGTGTTAGTCTTAGTGTTGGTGTTAGTCTTAGTGTTGGTGTTAGTCTTAGTGTTGGTCTTAGTCTTAGTGTTGGTGTTAGTCTTAGTGTTGGTGTTAGTCTTAGTGTTGGTGTTAGTCTTAGTGTTGGTCTTAGTCTTAGTGTTGGTCTTAGTCTTAGTGTTGGTGTTAGTCTTAGTGTTGGTGTTAGTCTTAGTGTTGGTGTTAGTCTTAGTGTTGATGTTAGTCTAAATGTTGGTGTTAGTCTTAGTGTTGGTTTTAGTCTTTGGCATGAAAATATGAAAATGCAAAGATTATAGTCCTTTATATGAAAATGTGTGAAAATGCAAAGACTATAGTCCTTGGCGTAAAAATGTGTGAAAATGCGAAGACTATAGTCTTTGGCATGAAAATGTGTGAAAATGCAAAGACTATGGTGTTTGACATGAAAGTGTGTGAAATCAAAGACTATAGTATTTTGCATGAAATTAGTGAAAATGCAAAGACTATAGTCTTTGGTATGAAAATGTGTGAAAATACAAAGACTATTGTCTTTGGTAAAAAAATGTGTGAAAATACAAAGACTATAGTCTTTGGCATGAAAATGTGAAAATACAAAGACTGTAGTCTTTGGCATAAAAATGTGTGAAAATGCAAAGATTATATATAGTCTTTCA